GGATTGTCCCATACTGTGGCTGTTGTTTCTTCCACAAAGGACAGCAGGATCAATGGGCCGACATTCTGCCACCTCTCCACTCTCCTGAACCCGCTGGGCAGGATTTCCAGGACCTTCCAGAGGACATTGCCTCCGGGTTCTGTGTCTGAGATGTACCGCGTGCCTGTGGGATCGGTTCCTTCCGGGCCGAGGATTCGCAGCCACTCTTGAGGTATGGCCTCTGTGATTTGGGCCAGTGATCTTCCGTTCGTTGCAGGGCCCTTAGTTTCAGCTTGAGCTCGCTGAGTGGGATCCACCCTCCCTGAGTCAATGACCGTACGTCCTCCATTCTCACCACCCCTCTTCGTACCCAGGCTTGTCCAAACGTCCCTGGTTTACCATCTGCGGGGATGGGGGATCCTGAGCTGTCAACCACAGCTGGGTTTTCAAACAGTAGTTGATTGAGTACTTCCTCCTTCGTGGTGGGGGTGGACAGGGAGTCCAGCGGCAGCTTTTTCCAAGCTCTTCTGATGGGTTCCCATAACCCAGATTTGAGTCTCTTCTTCCTAAAGGAAAGCATGAAAAAGCAGGCCCAGACATCTTTTGGGCGACTCAACTCCCACTCAACCATTAAAATTCGCTCCGCCAGAGCCACCCAGTGTTCTGCCTCGCCCAAAGCTGCTGCTTTCTTTATCCAGACCAACAACTGTGCCTGGTTCCTTCTTGCCTGGTCCACTAGACCCAATCCCCCATTCTCACGCGGGAAGGACAGGGTATCCGGTGCCACTTTGGAGATGAATGAGTTCTGGGCCCTGGGTTTCCAGATAAATCGTGCCACCAGTCTCCGAATAGCCCTCGCCACGCCATTGGCCAGTTCCTTCACCGTGGTAGCAAACCAAAGAATGGAGAATAAGGCTGCGTTGGCCACCAGCGCTCGGCCTATCAGCGATAGGTGCCATGTCGAACCCCATACCCTCAGCCTTGAGGAAATGCGCTGCTGGAGTAGCAGTCCTTGTGTCGAAGCTTCGATCTGCAAATTGATCAGCACCCCCAGGAATCGTTCCTCTTCCCCTTTCTCCACTCTCTTCATACCCCATTCCACCTTGAGTTCGAACTGCGCCGGGAGAAGGTAAGTCGACTTGCTCCAGTTCACTGATGCCTCCGACAACGTGGAGTATTCGCACAATACGCTCTTCATTGATGACAGTGCTAGCTCGGAATTTACACAGACTGCGAAAAGATCGTCGGCCAGCGCCTTCACCTTGCATTCCTTGCCCGTGTGCAGCTGCAGACCACGAATAACCGAGTGGGAACGAATCTTGTTCAGCAACACTTCCAGCTGGATCACGAAGATAAGAGGGGTCAATGGGCAGCCCTGTCTGAGAGACCTTGTGAGGGGAAAAGGCTCAGACAAGTGCCCGTTGATCATGACTGAGGCTGTGGAAAATGTGTACAGTGCGATGACCCACGCACAGAACCCTTCCCCGAAGCCTAACCATCGCAGTGTAGTGAGCACGAAGGTCCAACCTACTTTGTCGTACGCCTTCTCCAAACCAAGCAGAAGGACAGCGTAGTCTAGGTTCTCTTTCTGAACCACTTCAAGTGTTTCAATTGCCGTCGCTATGTTGTTGAAGATCGAGCGTCCATGCACGAACGCGCCTTGATCAGAGGCCACTAAATCCGACAGGTATCTTGCCAGCCTTCTGGCCAAGGATTTGGCCAGAATTTTGTAGGACACATTTAGTAGCAAGATGGGCCTCCAGTTCCTTACTTTGGCCTTGTCACATTTCTTGAATAGGACTGTGATGACGCCGTATGTCATGCCCTTCACTAGTTTACCACCAACCAGGATCTCGTTATAGAGTTCCACCATCCTCGGCCCAAAGACGGTCCAGTTTGCAGTGTAGAACTCCACAGTGAGGCCGTCCACTCCTGGGGATTTGCCCTTCGCCATGGTCTTGACAGTTTGGGAGATCTCTTCCAAGGTGAGCGGGCGGTCCAGATCCAACCTTCCACCCGCATGCAGTCTAACTGTTGTGTCCTCCCACATGTCCGACGATAGGGAGAGGTCTGTGTCCATGCTGTCTTGAGGCCGCCTCGAGGTCAGAATGTCAGAGTAGTACAGTCTTGCGTACTGCAGCATGCCCGAAGATGAGCACGCTGAGGGAGCTGTTGAGTTGAAGGGGTGCCGTAGTTCCACCATTTGTTGTTGTGTCCTCCGTGGCTGCAGTTTTTGAAACGTCTCCTTCGTCATCCTGTCGTGTGTTTCCACTCCCTTTATTTGTAGAATCTCCACCCATCTTTTCTCCTTCTCCTCCTGCAGGGTGTTCCACTTTGTCATTCTTCTTTCTCTTTCGGCCGCCCATACCATAGTCGAGATTGGGTGCCCCTCCATCCGGTTCTCTGCCTCCTCTATTCTTGTCTTACACTCTGCTTCCCTTATGTTTCTTGACCTGGCCAGGATTCTTGAGCACACGTCCAGCACGCTGGAGGCTACAACATTTCCTCCATCTAGTCACTCCGCTGTTGATTCAAAGTGTGGCCTCGCCCCCTCCCATCTAGTCATGTGGTCAGAGACCCACTCCCCAATGCCTGGCACCTCGAGCACTTGACTGTTCAGGCGGAAGAACCCTTTCCCTTGCTCTGCGCCAGCGGACAAACTGATGTCAGCCACAACCGGTTTGTGGTCTGACAGGGGGTGGCAGATTTGGCGGACTGCGGTGACCTTCTCCATTGTTTGCTCGCTCAACAGGAAGCAATCTAGCCGCCTCCTAGTGATGGTATGTCTGTCCCTGAAAAGGTTAGAGAACCAGATGTAACCTGGGTCGTCCGGGTTTAACACTGGGAAGGGGTCTGTAAACGACAGTTCCGCGCTGATGTCCAGCAGGGCTTGTACGTCCCCTCTGCCTGCGCACGCTGCTCATGGGCGCAGGGCCTCGTCGAGCGACACATTCCAGTCGCCTGCTCGTACCAGTCTATCTGCCCTTGGGACAATTGTCCTCAACCTCAGGAAAAACTTGGCCCTCTCCCTCCAGTCTGTTGGCGCGTAGATGGTCATAAGCACCCATTCCTCCCCTCCTATCGCTACTTTCATCCAAGCCCATCTACCCCAAAGATCCGCCTCTGCGGCAGGCAAAGAATTTGGATGTAACGCTGAGGCAAATGTTGTTTAGTTTATTCTTATGCATAACATATATTTTTTTCAGATTTTTTGGAATTCTGTTTTTTTTTTTTTTGGGGGGGGGGGGAAGATGTCCGCGGCGTTGAGAGGGGGTGCCGAATGTTCGGGCGTTTGGGTTTGGGCGTTCGGCCCATCCCAAACGCCGGCAACCTTGGTTGTAGGTATTTTCAAACCCTACAACCCCATGTTTTTTCACGGCCGCGCCCAACCGCAGCGGCTATGGCTTGCGGTCGGGATCCCGACCGCAATCCGAGTTTGACCCCACGGTCATGACCGCGGGGGATTCATAGTATACAGGGCAATGAAAATATAGGGCAATGAAAATTAGATGAAATTTTCATCATTATATCACATGAATCACAAATTTGAATTAAATAATATAAATATAAAGAAAAATGGTCCTGGGTGCTACAAAAAAAAAAAAAAATCTGGGAAAAATCTATGTCATGCAGAATTGCAAACGAAACATCTGTTTTTTTTGGGGGGGGGTAATTGCAGAAATAGCGTGCTTTCTAAGTTTCCCAGGGGAAATGATGTCATGGGCGGAAAGATGTATTTTTTGCAACGAAAGTGGGAAACCTCCCGCAAATATTTTCGCTGTGAAACTACCGGGGACTGTAAAGCTGCAGCGAAAGACGTATTTTTGCAACGAAACTTGCACCCCGCCACTATTTTTGCTGTGAAACGTCCCCGAACGCGCTGTTTTTGAAATTTGTCCTTTTTTTTTTTCTTTTTTTTTTTTGCCTGAGGGTGACTGCGAAATTCGCTATGGTATCCGGAAAAAAACACTAAATTGAAACATACCCCTTTACGTCCCCTTAAGCCCCTTCGAGCCCTTGTGCACCCTGCTGAGGTTGTCTTACTTTATTTTTTTTAACGCATTTAATATAATTATGAGTTTATTAATAATAATTGCTAATTACAAGATTGTCTTACTTTTTTTTTTTTTTTTACATTTCGATGATTTCATATAGTAGTTACATAATAATAATAGTAATAATAATAGTAATAATAATAGTAATAATAATAGTAATAATAATATAATAGTAATACTCCTTTGGGCGTTGAACTTTGACGTTCCTGGCCGCAATTTTTGGGCGTTTTTTTAACCGAAATTGTGAGGGCTTCCCTGGTTCCTGCCAGAAAGACATGACGATTTTGATTCAAAGAACGCCGAAATTGCGGCCAGGAACATCAAACGGAGTTAAATGCCCAAAGGTGTAATAATAAATAAACTAAGAATAGTAACAATGGAATGTCTGACGGGAAGAGTTGACCTCAAAAAAAAAAAAAAAAAAAAATTTATTGGAATACAAGAGTTATTTCTTTTCGAACTCTGAACAGAATGGGTACACGTTGTATTCGAATACAACGTGTATGTGTTCTATTCGAGGTTCTTTGGCTTTCCCAAAAAAAACAAAACAAAAAAAAAACAAAAAAAAAAAAAAAAGGAGGGGAAAGAGCTGACCTTTAATATGAACAACTTCACGTCATCATGATGTCATGTTCAGAGGGGTATAATGATCCTTCTCCTTTCCTTCTTTATGGTGCTTTTTTTTTTTTTGTTGTTTCCTTTTTGTTTTGTGTTTTTTGAGACATCTCCGCCCCTCTATATCCTGGGCTACCAGCCGGGACGCCGGGGTCACCCTATTTTCCCGGGCGGCCCGGCCGTGCAAGGACCAGGGAAGAAAAAAAAAGAAGCTATTTGTGCAGAAAAATAAACTGAACAACTTTTGCCGCAGGGTCACATCGAAATTCTTTACCAACTTCAAAATAAAATCTCAAATGATCATAATTATTAATAATTATCATGCCTTTTGTCTTTTTCATGGTAATGCAGGAACTAAGATGGGCATGGGATGTACCAGCGGTCACATGCTTTGTGGACTTTCCCGTCTGTCAGTCCGCTCCTTGGTTGCAACCATGTCCTTCTTCAGCACTGCTGTATTGGTTGCATCCTATTTCGAGCGGGGTAACGATCTGCCTACGAGTGTGAGGATCCCATCGGCGACCGAGGCTTTGCCTCTTTTTGCCGTTCCTGTGGCCTTTATCGTCGCCTTTGAGACCTTGCGGCTGCTTCATTCGCGAAATGCGCTTCCTGCACATCTTGCATTCCTCGTCACGGCGCTCTTGGGCGGCATTGCGTTCTCATTAGGTCTCATCTTGTCGGGCATGGTGCTGCAGTCGAAAGTCCTTGGCTTTCTGGACCCTTTCAAGCATTGGGATCCCTCTCTGCTGATGGTGGTCGTAGGGGGTTTGCTACCCAATGTCGTGCTTTACCGCGCCACGATCTGTAAGATGACTGCCCCCCTGTTTGCGAACAAGTTTGCAATTCCAAGGAAAACAGAGATAGAGTGGAAGTTGATGGCTGGTGGAGTGCTGTTTGGACTTGGATGGGGGTACCTGGGACTCTGTCCGGGACCGGCTCTGGTCAACTTACCGCGGTTCACCCCTCCTGTTCTGTTTTTTGCTGGAGCAATGATCGTCGGAATGCGCCTTTTCGTTGGGTACTCCTGGCTTGTCAAAAAGCTGAAGCGTGAGTAAGTAGGGAAGGGAAGAACTTCCTCCCCCTGTATGGCATCACAATAGCAAAGAAAGAAAAAGGTTGCTCGTTCTGGCTGGCATCGCAGCAAGCTGAGGACAACTTGAAGAAAAACAAGAAAAACAAGAAAAACAAGAAAGAAGAAAAAGAAAAACATTACCGTAACGGCAATTCGCCTAGCTCGGTTGGTTAGGCACGCAAGTGGCTTTTCGGAGGAGGTTGTGGGTTCCAATCCCCACTGACCGACCACCCGGGGCCACACACATGGTGCCAAACCAAGTGAGATAGTTGGCTTGCTGCCCCTGGTCGCTATTGGCAGGGTGTTTGGCCATCACGGGTGTGAGTGTGTGTGTGGGTTGGGTGTGTGGGGGTCGGGCGAGTGTCGGCCTTCGGCACTGCCGCTGCCGTTCCTCCTCTCTGGGGAGGGGGAAGTTGATGGGAGGTGCAGCTTCTGGCAAAATGCATGGTCTTTGTGTTAGCCGCCCCCCCCCCCTCTCCACCGGTGGCCCCACCGTACTCCCTGACCACTGCTGATTAGAGTTGGGGGGGGGGGGGAGCGCAGTGTGAATCTTCTTGACTGTGAAAGGTAGCTACGCTTGCAGGAATCCCACTGTATAGGTTCTTAGCAAGTTAGCAGTACTGGTAGCAGCGGTAGGTAGGTAGGTAGGTAGGTAGGTAGGTAGGTAGGTAGGTAGGTCGGCTGTTTCAAATTGTGGATCTGATGGGCAGTGACGGCCAGTGTTGGTAGGTGGGCTGTTGCAAATTGTGGATCTGACGGGCAGCGACGGCCACTGTTTTCTTTTTCTTTTCTTTTCTTTTCTTTTCTTTTCTTTTTTGCTTTTGCCCCGTGTTTGGATGGTTGGTCCGGTTTTCAGGAGGTAGGGATGGTGCAAGCAAATTATAATTCCGCTTGCTCGGGTGGGCAAAAATAAGATCATAGCGGCCATGGTTGACAGAGATCATGGCGTAATCCAGCTGACATGTGTGACTTTAAGCGGAGGCGCTGTGATGGAAAAACTTACTCTGTGTCTGTTTGTCAGTTGCAAGTCGACTTGTAAATATAATGTGTTAAGAAGCTTAAAGTTTGTCTATCTCAGTTAAAGTCGTCAAGTTACTACGGTGACAAAGCTTCCGTCTAGGTGTAGGTACTCTTAGACGCAGTTACTGTAGTGAAACCCTATCATTGCACCCTCAGCTGCTGACATGTGACTTGTAAGCAGAGACGCTGTGATGGAAGACTTAACTTTGTCAATTACTAGACTTGAAATTCATGTGTTGAGGACTTGAGGAACTTAGTCGATGTCAGTTGAAGTCGTAGTTACGACAGCGAAAAAATTCGGTCTATGAGTCGTCCGTTACTCTTCGACCCCAGTACAAAAAAAAAAAAAGAAAAAAAAGGCGTCTATCAGTACTAAAACAAAAAAGGTGTCTATCATTGCATCCCGTCGCAGTGTTCTGATACTTTGTCAATTCCAGTGCTAACTGTTGCAGGAAGAGTTACTGTGGTAAAATGCTTAGCTGCCCCTCGCAGACGAGGTAAACTTTCTCCAGTGAACAACTTCCGGTTGCTAGTCCGTCATCGTCAACCTAGTGGAGCGCATGCGGATGGTGTCCACAGCAGTCTATTGTCATCATACCAGATCATGATGGCTTGCACTCGCATGCCATAATTTTGGCATGCGCCTACATTTTCTAGATTTTCGGCTATGATGCTCTTGGACTTAGACTAGCGTCTTGGAAATGTGAGTTTTAAACCCTTTCAGTTATCGTCACAGTGCCAGTTACTAGAAAGTTAGTGGAAACTAGAAATTTGTGAATTTCTGAGACTCGAAGTCACTGTAGTAGTTCTCAGAAATTTGCGAATTCAGAATCATCACGAGGTCCTGGAGTGAGAGACGTGTGGGCACGCTGTCTGTCATGCTTGCAGGAGGAGACCGAAACAAACTCGTGTTTCTCTGTGGGACTTCATCATCCCTTCCTCCCTTAGAATTGGTGAAATTGAAAATCTGATTCAGTGGAAGAAGTTACGAAGAACGAGCTAGTCATCAGCCTGAGGGGCTTAGATGCTGACACACGGGAAATCCTCTCGAAAACTCACAAAACCCAGGTAAAACAAAGAAAGCTTTGGTGCTCTCTCTCTCTCTCTCTCTCTCTCTCTCTCTCTCTCTCTCTCTCTCT